CTGTAGCAGAGATCACCAATGCAGGCTTTGAGTCAGCCAACCAGATGGTGAAATGTGACCCTCAGCATGGTAAATACATGGCTTGCTGCCTGTTGTACTGTGGCGACATGGTTCCCACCATCAAGACCAAGCATACCATCCAGTTTGTGGACTGGTGACCAAATTTAAAGAGTGAGCATTAATCAGCAGCCTCCCACTGTGGTGTCCGGTGGAGACCTGGCCAAAGTACAGCGAGCTGTGTGCATGCTGAGCAACACCACAGCCATCGCTGAGGCCTGGGCTCGCCTGGACCACAAGTTTGACCTGATGTATGCCAAGCGTGCCTTTGTTCACTGGTATGTGGGGGAGGGCATGGAGGAAGGAGAGTTTTCCGAGGCCCGTGAGGACATGGCTGCCCTTGAGAAGGATTATGAGGAGGTTGGTGTGGATTCTGTTGAAGGAGAGGGTGAAGAAGAAGGAGAGGAATACTAAAGTAAAAAATGTCACAAAGGTGCTGCTTTTACAGGGAAGCTTATTCTGTTTTGAAAATTGAAAAGTTGTGCTCTGATCAGTTAATTTGTATGTAGCAGTGTATACTCTCATATACAATTACTGACCTATGCTTTAAAACACAACGCTTTGTTACAGACCCAAGCTGTCCATTTCTCTGATGGGTTTGAATAAAGTATTCCCTGTCTTAAATGAATTCAGTCTTGTGTTTTCTTTTTGGGTGTCTGAAATTCATGTATTTAGTTCTGAGAAGAAAGAATAACTGTTGACTGTCGTTTATACATGTACTGTGAAGTGACTTATTTTAAATTTTAGTATATTATAAAACTTATTCATAAAATACAAAATAACCAAAAATTACCACTAGATAAAATCTATGCTCGTCTTAAATTTTAACTCCACTGTGTTACTTAAACTGCTAGTACTCTTTAGAATTGATATTTACTAATACACAGCCAAAGGTCTGGTTACCTGCCGAGTCTCATATGACAAACATAAAATGGTGAATATTCCAAATGCATTATCCTGTGTTAAGTTTATTTTCATGCATTCTCATCCTGGCATGTGTTTAGTGCCATGATGCTTCCTCTGCTTTGGGTTCTCAAAAGAAGTCTGCTCTCTAAGCAATTGCTCCCTAGTTCTTTACTTCTTTCCAAACTTATTTTCAGCTAAATGTCAACAGAAAAGCCTGATATATTTACTCACTCTAATGTGTTATATATCTGAATTTTAACTCTCTAAATATATTATTTTAATATGGGACAATAACTTCAAAGAATAAAACTAATCATGCAGTTGTAGGCATCAGCACCAACATAGTGAGAGGAACAGTTCTGGGCCAATGGTTTTCACCTGCCAGTCCAACTGACCAAAAGGCTAAGGACCCAAGGACAGCAAACTGTCTTGTGCTATCACACTATCTTGTTCTAGAATGATATCGTTGTGATGAAGTTCTTTTTTGGTATTTATAGCCTGTTTAATCTGTTTTTCCTTTGACACTGCCAACAAAGGGGTGTGATACTACTATAGTTACTGGAATCCGAGTTTAAGTTAATGGAAATAACGAAAAATAAGAAATAAGCCAAGATCAACTAGCTTTAAAACCAATCCAATACTGCTTAGCAGTTTAGAAGCCAATGTGAATAGACTGCGGGGGAGGGGGAAGCAAAAGGCTTCATTTATTCAGATAAAAAAACAATGTGGAAATTAGATCAAATGTAAGTTTTTAATGTGCACTCTCAGCACCTAGCAAAAATACAAGGAATATGGTAGATGTAGGTACAATGATTATTGGTTGAATGAGTAAAGTGTAGGATAAAAGAGATAAGTATAAAATAAAAAAATAAAAGCCCTATGATCCTAATTTTAATTATAAATAACAATATGCATTTGTTATATATTTTCTATTATAAAAAATTTTATAATTGTGTCCACTGAAAAGGCCTAGGACCAATATAGGAATGAGTACTCCTACCACTCAGATGGTGGTCTTTAAATACTATTTTCCACTAAAAGGAATCAGAATGTTTTAGAGATGTTCAAGCTGGGAGCAGAAAATATGTAAGTTCAGCCCCAAATATTTTCTCACTCCAGAAAGCAAGGAAGATAATAAAAGACAGGGCGCCTGGGTGGCTCAGTTGGTTAAGCAACTGCCTTCAGCTCAGGTCATGATTCTGGAGTCCTGGGATCGAGTCCTGCATCGGGCTCCCTGCTGAGCCGGGAGTCTGCTTCTCCCTCTGACCCTCCCTGCTCTCATGTGCTCTCTCTCTCTCATTCTCTCTCTCAAATAAATAAAAATCTTTAAAAAAAAAAGATAATCAAAGACAAAGTTATATCAAAAGGATACAGAAGTCAAGTAGAAGGGGTTTTCATTGATGGTACAAATTGAGCATTGAAAATAATAGTGACTGGGGCGCCTGGGTGGCTCAGTCGTTAAGCGTCTGCCTTCGGCTCAGGTCATGATCCCAGGGTCCTGGGATCGAGCCCCACATCGGGCTCCCTGCTCAGCGGGAAGCCTGCTTCTCCCTCTTCCACTCCCCCTGCTTGTGTTCCCTCTCTCGCTGTGTCTCTCTCTGTCAAATAAATAAATAAAATCTTTAAAAAAAAAAATTAAAAAAAATAAATAAATAAAAAAAAAAAAAGAAAGAAAATAATAGTGACTGCAGTGGGTTGAACCATATAAAATATATTAAAACTCGTGAGCTCATATTTTTTGTGTGATTTAAAAAACAACTGAAAGCAGTATAGCAGTTCCTCAAAAATATTAAACATAGATCTATGATCTCAGAATTCCACTTCTGGATATACACCCAAGAACTGAAAGCAGTGACTCAGACACATATTTGTGTACCTATGTCACCAGAGCTTTATTCACAAGAGCCAAAAGTCAGAAGCAACCCTAATATCCATTGACAGACGAATGGATAAGCAAAATGTAGTATGTACACACAATATAATATTATTAGCCTTAAAAAGAAATTCTGACACATACGACAACATGGATAAACTCTGAAAATATTAAGCTAAGTGAAATAAGCCAGACACGAAAGGACAAATATTGTCTGATTTTATTTACATGAGGTACCTACAATAGTCAAATTCAGAGAGACAGAAAGTACAACAGTGGTTACCAGGAGCTAGGGGGAAGGATATAATAGGACGTTATTGTTTAACAGACACAGAATTTCAGTTTGTAATGATGAAAAAGTTCTTGAGGGGTGCCTGACTGGCTCAGTAGAAGAGCAAGTGACTACTCTTGATCTCAGGGTCATGAGTTCAAGCCCCAAGTTGGGTACAGAGATAACTAAAAAAGATAAATAAATTAAAAAAAAAAACTTCTGGAGGTGAAAAGTAGTGATTTTGTACAACAATGAAAATCTATTTAATGCCACTAAATTATACTTCAAAAGAGTTAAAATGGGGGTGCCTGGATGGCTCAGTCTGTAAAGCATGCAACTCCTGATCTTGGGGTTGTAAGTTCAAGCCCTGCATTGGGTGTAGAAATTACTTAAAAAAATAAAATCTTTTTTAAAAATAATAAATAAATAAATGAAAGGGTTAAAATGGCAAATTTTATGTTACATGTATTTCACCACAGTTTAAAAAACAAAGTATAAACCAAAAACTAAAAATATGGTTACCTGCACGGAGGGAACATGGTCTAACCAAACTTTGTATTTGTTGTATCATTTGACTATAGAAACATAATTATAATAAAGATTAAATCAAGGTGGAAAAAAAATCTCTAAAAATTAAAAGCAAAATGAAACAAAGGAATTTAACCAAGTATCAAGTTGTAGCTTAACTACAGAGTTAATTCAGCATTATTTCACCTGACTTTAACACACAGTAATTTGATTGTATAGCCAGAGATCTATCCTAAAAAAAGGAAATCCAAAAAAATAAGCTGTTTTCAGTAATCATATTAGTAATATTATTTATAGTTTTGAAATTATATATAAATAATACAGAAATTAAAGATTCATTAATGTATTAGTATACAAAAACCTCAAAAGTTATAATTATATTATATATATTCAAGAAAGTGGATGAGTTTTAAGTAGAGATAGGCGAAAATAAATAAAAATTCTGGAGATGAAAAATATATCTCAGATTAAAAATATGCCAAATGGGCTTAACAGTAAATTAGATACCACAGAAGAAAAGATTAATGAATTGAAGACAAACAATAAAACATCCAAAATTAAATACAGACCAAAAATAAACTGGAAAAAAGATGAATAAATGGATACTAAACAGAACATAAACAGAAGCAGATTGAAGATGACTCAGCATTTTTAAACAGTTTGTAAAGCTTCAGGAATGAGGTCTTAAACTTTTTGGTATTTTATTTTCTCAATTACAAATTGCTTTCGGGGCACCTGGGTGGTCAGTCGGTTAAGTATCTGCCTTCAGCTCAGGTCATGATCCCAGGGTCCTGGGATAGAGCCCCAAGTGGGGCTCCCTGCTTAGGGGAGAATCTGCTTCTCCTTCTCTCTCTGTCCCTCTCCACTGGCTCGTGCTCTCTCTATCTCACTCACTCTCGCTCTCTCAGATGAATACATAAAATCTTAAAAAAAAAAAAAAAAAACAAATTGCTTTCAACATAAAGTACAGTGCTACAGATAAATTTAAAATAAATTTTATAAATATATAAAGAGATCTTTTTAAGATTAGAATTCCATAATATTAAAACTTTGTTTTATTTTTATATATATTCATTTTACTTTATTTTTAGTTGTGGTAAAATACACACAGCATAAAATTTGTCATCTTAACCATATTTTAAATATACAGATCAGTAGTAAGTGCATTCACATGGTTGTGCAACCAATCTCTAGAACTCTCTTCATCTTGCAAAACTAAAACTCTATATCCATCAAATAACTTCCCAATTCCCCCTCCCCCTAGCCTCTGGCAACCACCATTCTACTTTCTGTCTCCATGAATTTGACTATTCTAGGTACTTAAAATAATAGAATCAGGTATTTGTCTTTTTGTGACTAGCTTATTTCACTTAGCATAACATCCTCAAGGTTCATCCATGTTATAGCATGTGTCAGAATTTCCTTTCTTTTTAAGTCTGAATAATATTCCATTCTATGTATATACCACACTTTGTTTATCCAATCTTTTATCTGTGGACATTGGGGTTGCTTCTACCTTCTGGCTATTGTGAATAATGCTGTTATGAACATGTGTATATAAATTTCTCTTCCAGACCCTGCTCTTAATTATTTTATTTATATGTGCAGAAATGGTATTGCTGGATCATATGGTAATTCTACATTCAAATTTTTGAGGAACTGCCATACTCTTCCATAGAGTCTATACATGTTACATTCCAACAGTGTACAAGGGTTCCAATTTCTCCATATCCTTGCCAACACTTGTTATTTTCTGTTGTTTTGTCTTTTGATGATAGTCATTTAAATAGGTATGAGGTGGTATCTCATTGTGGTTTTGATTTGCATTTCCCTGATTGGTGATGTTCAGTATCTTTTATTTATTTTTTGTTTATTTATTTATTTGAGAGAGATAGAGAGAGAGCATGAACTGAGAGACGGAGAAGCACACTCCCCGCTGAGCAGGGAGCCTGATGCAGGGCTCAATCCCAGGACCCTGGGATCATGACCTGAGCCGAAGGCAGACACCTAATCAACTGAGCCACCAAGGCGCCCAGTATCTTTTATTTAT